ACGAGCTTAAGGTTTCCTTAATGGTCCATATAGGAGTTTAGGGTTTAGGCTGTAGGCTTTAGGGTTAAGGGCTTAGCTTTTAGGGTCCAGGGTCTAGTTAGCGTTTAGGGTTTAGGGCTTTTAAGGGTCCATTTAGCTGTTTGCACTTACTTGTTGCTGTGTTTTTTTGCGGTGTGGTTTTCCCTTGGTCGGAGAACACAAACTGTACTGAGTGCTCGCGTGGCCATTGTAGCTTGTTTGCTGATGGAGGCGATTAGTCCTGGAACCTTATTGCCCTGGTGTTTCTACTCGACACTGTTCTCGCTCTCTTTTTGGCAATACCGTGAAACCTGGTTTGGCGTTTTGTCGTTATCACAACACCTTTGTGGCCTCGGTTCAGGGTTCAAACGCATTGTGGTTTGTTTACATACGCCAGCTCCTGCCAAGGGGTGTGCCCCTATTCCGAGTTCCCGTGGTCTGCTGGTCAGGCATCTACAAACATGGCTTCCAAACTTCTAGGTTCGTGTACCACCTGAAACGATGAATGTTGCTTTCCTAGAAACTAACATGGAACCTCACACTGTCCAAGTATGAAACTTCGAGGGGAAGCTAAGAGAAGGCATGCCCCGCAAGTAAACCCTAAACCCCTGCAAAGTTTTGAATGTACACCCGCATAGCCTTTTCAAGTGTGGGGTGTAGGCTTTAACGTAAAGATCTACACTTTGTGGAAGAGGTGTTGAGGTGCACTTAGAGGTTCACGTGCAATGTCAAGTAGGGGTAAGACTTGTTAAGCAAGTCGGAGACTCAAACCATAAACCCTAAACCCTAAACCCTGACCCCTAAACCCCTAAACAACCAGGCTGTACCTCTAATTGCCCGTGCATCTCCAAGCATTGCATGAGACAGGCTGAGGCTACTTTCCATCACCAAGCTTTACTGAAACCTGCCAGTGCAATACCAAGCGGAGGTTGGGAAGCTGGTTAGGGGCTTAGGCTTATGGATTAGAGTTGGTAATCCTAGCACAGCACCCTAAAGCCCAAGCCTTCAACCCTGAATCCTACAAGCCCCCAAAGCTCGAGGCTTTAGGGAACCGCGTGCCCCAGACCTCAATGAGGACCCTAATTATGTGTGTTGGGGTTACCAAAATCCTCTCATTATTTACCTGGACCTCACAAGTATGTAAAGCAATGGTCCCACACCCTAAACCTTCGAACCCTAAACCCATAAATCCTAAAGCCTAAACCCACCAAAAAACGGACGGCCCAGTATTCTACACACTCGGCCCTGAAAGGAACCAGAAAGGCCAGCATTCTTCGCACTTTTGGGTTTCAACTAGTCCGTGGGCTCCCAGCCGCAGGGTTCATGGGACTTAGTACAGTGATCACATATAACGCCTTAGGGTTTAGGGGCTAGAACCATACTAACAACTGGGGTAACCACTATACAGCCAGTTGGGAGGGGTTGTGCGTTCAGTCTTAAGTGGTTGCTAAGTCCTACGGCCATCCACCCTACACTCCCAACCCTGCACCCTGAACTTTATATATCCTGGTATATCCCGTGGTTCCTCGACAAGGTTTTCAAACCCACTTATAAGTGGCGACTAAGTACAGCAAAGCTTCAAGTAAGCTCAAAACCCTCAGCCCTAAATTCTGAACCCTGACCCCTAAACCCTAAACCCTAAATCCCCTAAACCCTAAATCCCCTAAATCCTAAACCCCTAAACCCTAAATCCCCTAACCCTTAAACCCAAGAAGGGGCCTTGAGCCAGGATGCGGCTCCCAGACGAAACTCGGGAACCAAGCTGTGTTGAGCCCGGCTCTGTCTCCTGTGGTTTAGGGTTTAGGGCGTAGGGATGAGGGTTTAGGGGTTAGGGGTTGGGGGTTAGGGTTTAGGAATTATGGTTTAGGGTTTAGGGATTAGGGTTCAGAGTTTAGGGATTAGGGTTTCAAGGTTTCAGGGTTTATTTAGGGTTTAGGGGGTAGGGGTTTAGAGTTTAAGCATTCGGGTTTGGCGATGAGGGCTTCGGATTTCAGCGTTTACAGAGGTTTTGGATTTGTGGTTAGGGGACTTTGGTTCCCCCCGCCCCCATAGTAAGGTCCTTGTAAGAGTCATAGAATCGAATAGTCATTGGTTATAGGGTTTAGGGTTTAGGGTCCTTGTGTTGCAAGTTGGGGTAGCCCACATCTCCTCATTAGTCTAGGAAGCCTAAACCGGAATCCCGGAACCGCTTCTAAATCCTAATGCCGCATACTGAAGCCTACATCCGAAACCCCAAGCTCCATGTCGTAGGCACTAAGCCCCAATTCCTACATCCCCTAAAGCCTAAACCGTAAACCCCTAAACCTCTAAACCCAACTCTGAATCCTAGACCTCACCCCCAAACCCGAATTTTAGAGTCTTTAAGATGAAGGGGGTTAGGGCTTCGGGTTTAGGTTCGAGGCTCAAAGGATCTGGGACGTTCATGCACTGCAATACTCGCTGATGGTGATCTGGGTTTAGGGTGTAGGGTTTGGGGTTTGGGATATCAATCCGATGGTTAGAATTCGGTTTTAGGGCGGATGGATGGCCCAATAACGGGGTGGCTTCAAAGATGCGCCCTTTTTCTTACCCTGAAATATGATGGCTCTCATTATGCAGACCATCGAAAAGGGAGGCCTTTGGGGGTTTCAAGTTCGTTTGAGGGGCGGTGTAGGGTTCAGAGTTGATATAACCGTATATAACCTGATATGACCGTCTATAGGGTTCCTGGGTTCAGAGCAGTCCCTCTTTAGTCCAGGGTTGGATGTAGCTTTGGCAAAGCGTGGGAGTGTGGACGTAACTATTCAGGTTTAGGGCTAGGGTGTGGCGTGCAATTCCCCAAAGATAGATGGAGCCCCCAGAATGGTGCTACAAGATTTACAATCCTTCGAAACAGACGTTCTCTATGCTGGATTCCCAAATGAGAGGACCCCCAAAACCCTAAACCCTACACCCTAAACCCTATAGACCCCCTTACGTACCCCAAAGTTTTAAAATCATGATCAGAAGGACACCCCCCCAGACAATAACACAACTTCTGGAAGCTCCCAGAGTACGGGAGCTACCCAAACTTGAACTTAGGGATTTTTTTGGGTCGGTATATCAAAAGTAAGACTAGTTTAGGGTTGAGGGTTTAGGATTTAGGGTTTAGGGTTTAGGGTTCGGGTTTGGGGGTATAAGTTCAGATGGGCCCTCATACCCTAACCCTCTGGAAAGCCCATGTGGGGTCGAATCTTAGTCTGGTGTCGGGCATAGAGTGGGGCACAGGTGATCACCGCACCGTTTAGGGTTCAGGGTTTAGGGTTTAGGGAAGGAGTTTAGTGTTTATGGCTGAATGAGGTTTGGGCATTAGGCTGTGGGGTTTAAGGTTTACGTAGGGTTTAATTCGGGCTTCCGGCAGGAGAGCTTCCAATTCAAGCATCCCCACTAGAACTCCCTCAAATTCTTTTTCTGCGTATACCTATATATATATACACATGCACGTGTGTATCTATAATATTAACATATTCATATACTGATATGCAAACTGCTTTTATGAGTGCTTGCCTGATAGTAAAAGGGAGCCATACTGTGGATCAGCGGCCGTAGAGTTTTCGAAAGGATAAGACGCACACGCCTGAGGAACAAAGGGGCGGCTTCAGTAATAAGGAGGATTTGGTAATCCCAAATCCGCTACCCCCCTCTTGCAGGCACCCTGTAAGAGCCACCCGGTCCTCATTTTGTGGGGCCGGGTGATGCAAATCCCCTCAGTAGGCAGAGGCTGCTTTCAAAAGGACAAAGGTCTTCATTGGTCCCATGCCAGGCGGGGGCGTGTATTTGACCCAGTGCCCTAGCTATTCCCTTTGGGATTCTACGATACGCTCATGACATATAAGGGTGTGCTGAATACAGTTTTCAGTTGTTGTGGTATCACAACCATAAACCCTAAACCCGAAACCCTGAGGGCTTCATGGCAAATTCAGGACAGTGTTTAATGCATTTTGTCTGTCGTCTTCATTACCTTGGGTCATTCCCTCTTACTGTAGCCAGTGTCACAGTGGGTTTCTAGGAGATACAATAAGCCCTTCTCAAGACCACAAAAAGGGTGACCCAAGGTTTTCCGATGTTTTCCGTCTATTTGCTCATTTTTCGTCTCAGCATCTTTTCCATACAAACACGACGCAGCGACCGTCCTCTACACTCAGTTTGAGGATGGCGCATCCTGAACTTTTGTGGCACATGGCCAGGGGATATAGTGGTTTCCAAAAATTGGGCCTACGGTTTTGGGGTCCTCAAACTTGATTATAGTTTTTTGGTGTCTATGTTGTGGTCCCCCGTATTGATCGAAACTACCATGTGCCTGGGGCACCGCCCCCACGCTGCAGCAGTCATATGGAGGCATTTTTCTAAAAGCATCCTGATGCTACAATTGCAGTATTGGGGGGGCTGTCAGAGCCCAAGGGTCCTCAGTGTAAGCAACATATTTTTGATGAAGTACTAAGCCAAACCACGCAATTGATTCCAGGTACATTTACTCTACATTTACATGATATAGATACTGTGAAGCCCTAAACCCTTCAACCCTTAAGCCCTAAACTCTTAAACCCTAAACCCTAGACCCTTAAACCCTAAACCCTTAACCCCTAAACCCTTAACCCTAAACCCTAAGATACCTTGGGTAGGGTGCAAGAATGGCGGCTTCAGGCTCAACAGCGGCAGCTCAGATAAACAGCTGTGGGGGCACATCAGTAGCACAGGTGCTTTAACCTCTCCATCCATTAGGGTTTAGGGTTAGGGTTTAGGGTTTAGGGTTTAGGGTTCCATAGCACTAGAACTAGATACTATATGGGGGTTTTATTGGGGTTATATAGGGATAATGGACAAGAAAATGGAAGCTACTGTACTGGGATATATAGGGACGACTTCAGCACAACAAAGCCTAGAGATCTTAGCCTAGTGGACCGCTCTGTGCAGGCCGCAAGTAGCACCACGAACCTTAGAGCCCAGGCTTGTGTTGAGCGACCATGATTGGCGTGCCTCCTGCGCTGCCACCGCGGCCTCCAGGGGGAGCCCCACCTGCAGCGGTGCCTTTCCGTGCTGCCTCGGATCTGCCCGCGGCCGGCCAGCGCCGCAAAACTCCAGCAGGTGCTCCGGCTGACATCAACTATGGCCCCATGGGAAAGGATAGGCCAGACCACCTTTGGTCGGTTCTGCACCAGCGAGAGGACTCGCAACCGCCAGCGCCGAATCGCGCAGGCAGGCCCAGGTCGCGGGACGACCACGGCGGCGGCCGGGAAAGCCGCAGTTTGCCCAGCAGGCCAGATGAGGTAGATCAGTTGCCTCCGCTGCAGGCACCTTTCCCGTACCAAGCAGCCTTGCCACCCATAGGATGGGGTGGAGGAGCCGGGGCTGTTGGGGCTGCCGTAGATGCGGATTGGAGGGCGGACCTCAAGGCTGCAAACCTGCGGCCACGGATGCTGAGCCTTGAGCCTGCAGGGGAGTCCCGGGAGTGGATGGAGAAGCGGCTTGACGTCGCGATCACTGAGCAGCGCTCGGAGATCTCACGGCGCTTTGCAGGCTTCGAGCAGGCCGACAAGCATTTTAAGGATCCTCGATTGCTTGCCCTTGAAAGAGCGCGTTTTACAAGTGACATCGTAGCATAGGTATTTGAGGTTCTTTGCAGTATGAGTGTGCCCGCAGCTGAGGATTGGGTGCAACGCGAACATGAGCAGCTGCACGCACAGATCCAGCAGGTGCGTTCGGCCGGGCAGGAGAGCGGTCAGCAGCACCAGCGCTTGGTTGGGGCTCTCACTGCGCAGAACCAAAAGCAGGACATGCGGCTGCAGGAGCTCGAGGCCGGCCTGGCGCAAGCAGCAGCCCAGATCCAAGGTGTCATGACTGCGGTTTCCACGGGCGTCCTCAGCGCTGCAGGTGGCAATGGTGGGGGCACAGGTGAGGCTGCCATGGGAGCGGCCGCAGTCGCTGCCTCTGCCTCAGCGAACATGGAGGTTCTGCGTGCCGGTCTTGAACGTGAGGCCAACGCCCGTGTGGCATTGAGCGTAGAGACCGCTGAGCAGCTGAAGCAGCTGAACGACATGGTGCAGGAGCTCAGCGGCCGCCAGCACCAGCAGGTGGCAGCTGCACAGCACCAGCTGCAGCAAAACGTCGCCCAGGATGCACAAGAAGCCCAGCGATATGAAGCGCGCTTCTCGTCTCTGGAGCCCTCTGTGCAACAGCTTCGCGAGGAGCTTGAGCAGATGCGCGACCAGCTGAGCCGCAGTGGCGCTGACTGCACACGCCGCTGCGAAGAAGCTGAGGAGATGTGCAACAAACGTCTGCAGGGTGTGCAGGAGGCTGCTCTGAGTGCAGCGCGGGAGCTGTGGGAGGAGCACCAGGGAGCGGCTTGGCTAAGATTTCTGGTAAATTCTGCAGAGAACCGGAAGCTTAAGCATTGTGAGGGATCTGGTTCTCTGGAGTTGGGTACTACTCCAGATTCCCTCATTAAGCTCAGGCCAAAGATTCCTCCAAAGTCCCACAAAGCAGACGCCACTATTATACTATAGTAGTTTCCATTTTATGTTCCATTATCCCAATATAACCTTAGACCCTAAACCCCAAACCCTAAACCCTAAACCTTAAGCCCCAAACCCTAAACCCTAAACCCCAAACTTAAACCCCAAACCCTAAACCCTAAACCCCAAACCCTAAACCCTAAACCAGGTGGTGGCTGAGTGCAAGGCATCCCTAGCCGCCTTGCAGCAGATCTTGGACTCCAAGGTCAGGGGCCCCACAAAAGAACACGAGCAAAGAGATAATTGGGTTGTATAGGGGTTTAGGGTTTAGGGTTTAGGGTCTAGGGTTTAGGGTTTAGGATTTAGGGTTTAGGGTTTATAGCCCCCCTGAAGTAGATAGAATCTGGCTTTGGGTATATTATAATAAGATC